ATGGTGCTGGCACTGACATTGCCTCTCTCACTTTTGCTGTTTGTTTTGTAGTTTCCTATGACAAAGATTAAACCGGCTCCTCCAAAGAAATTCCCAGTAGAACTTCATAAATGGACATGTGAGGAAGATAAAGCATTCATTGAATTCATATCTGTTGCAGATAATCATGCGAATGATTGCAATTGAAGAGGTTTACCAATTATGTAATACCTCTAGATTGTTTTAATACATCATTAAGCTCATATACTATTCATGTGTACTGGTGAAATGAATGTAATGTAACATTTTAAAAACTTCTCTTTATTTGTGCACATAAAATTTTTTTTAAAAACCATTTTAATTACAGTAATATTATGTTAACATTTTTTCGATTTTAAAATAAATAAATTTTATAAACATCAATTATGTAGTGTGTGATCTTTTTATTAATTTGTGATGAGCAAGAGAAGACCATACACTGAAAATCGTGAATACCATACATACCATAAACCATAAACCTCTGAATATAAGCCCCCCCCCCCCGTGTATAAGCCCCCCTTGTGTAAGCCCATCAAAAATCACTTACGAAAGAATATAAGCCCAGTGCTTATAGTTGGAGGTTTACGGTAGATTGTCAAAAAACTGCAGAACTGATAAGATGGTGTCCATGGGATAAGATGGTGTCCATATTATCAGAAACAAATTTTTATCCCCCCCCCCCTCCGGACAGCAGAACTTTCCTCCGTGGGGGGAGTATGGATCTTTTCTGGAACGACCCAATCAGGGAAGTGACGAAAACACACAGTACAGGAAAACCGGGGTAGGGCCAAGACTGTACCACTACAGGTTCCCCAGCTCTATCCTTACAAAAAAAAGAAATGTCAGTATTACACCAGACACCAATATACAATTTTGCAGCTTCTGCTAAACATTTTGTTTCAATGTTTTTTAACCCATTGAGTATTGGAGTGTCAGTACTCTCCCCCTGATGAGTAAATAGTCTAGTGTTAGACAGTAAAATAATCTGGCGTTAGGCAGAGTGAAATAATAGACAACTGGTTGATCATTTACTGTCGTTCCAATTGAAGTGTTGCTCAAATATTGATTCAATACATTACCTCGGGCTGACCAATTCATTTGATCAAGTTCCTCGAGATATTCATACACTTCCTGTGAAAGAGCCAATTCCAAGTATTTGATCATTTCTGGTCACTTCCTTTCTATTTATGATTGGTTAGTTGCACAAACAACAAAGGTGATTGCAAGTATTTGATCATTTCTGGTCACTTCCTTTCTATTTATGATTGGTTAGTTGCACAAACAACAAAGGTGATTGGTGCATTCAAACTATTCAACAGGAAGTTTACAATTATACTAGGAAGTGTATGAATATTTCGAGGAACTTGATCAAATGAATTGGTCAGCCCGAGGTAATGTATTGAATCAATATTTGAGCAACACTTCAATTGGAACGACAGTAAGCATAGATAACTGGTTGATCAGTATAAATCCTTGCAATGCATCACACAGTAGTCAATACATTTATATATAGTGTCATGATAGTGCTGAATCGCCTCCATTTCATTCTCTACAATGCTATCACTGGGTCTTCTTCCATCATTTGGTGTGTATGAATGTGTGTCAGGGCAAACAGGATTTATTGGTAAATTAAAACAGCTACAATCAGTTGGCTGATGTAATTCTATTGGTGGAAGTACACTATCCAACTCATCATCTTGACTATTTGGGATGTTGGTGATGTTGAAATGTCAAACTCCCAACAACATAATATTGTTATATTCTTCTTTTGTACTTCCTTCCCGTGGATCATTAGGGTCGAAGAACTACATGATACGAAATAAAAATACGTTTTTAATAATACTGCTGTATTTTAAAACATAGGAGGATTTTTGTACTTTTATTTAATATAAAAATCATCTCACCTTAAAAACACAACTAGAATGAATTTGTACCAGTGCAGGACTACCGCAATCAGCGAACAAATTCATCAATTTTTATCCCGTTAACGACAGCTGGACAAAGGACTATTCATCGAACTATCCATAGAACTATAAACATGAACCTCACGACATTCAAGTTCATCACACGGTAATCCTTCCGAAATTAAGATTAAAGGCTGTTTTGACACACAGTGAACACACCTCAGAACACACAGAAGCTCGTGTCCACCCAAAAACGAAGCTTTCTTTCCATGCATAGTGCAAAAATTCACCATTTTACAATTTTTTTTCTATAAATCTTTTCTGAACTCTTCAAACCTCGAGGTGTAAACACAGCGAAAGCCGACCGAACAATGACGGCGCTGAGCGAGAAATCGATAATATGTAAAAAACCGCGCCTGACCGCGTTGCATGCCGGTATAGTCCTCACTCCTCCTCTGTGTTGTACCTGACTCCATCCTATGATTCCATCACTCACATCAACAACTATCTTCATCACCACCACCACCATCACCACTATTACCATGATCACCATCATTATCACCATCATTACCACCAACATTATCATCATCATCACAACCATCATCATCTGCATCATCACCATCGTTACCACTATCACCATCATTACCACCACCATCATCATCACCATCTTCATCATCATTACCATCTTCATGATCATCACCATCATCATTATCACCACCATATTCATCATCACCACCACCATCATCACCATCACCATCATCATCACCATCTTCATCATCATTACCATCTTCATGATCATCACCATCATCATTATCACCACCATATTCATCATCATCACCACCATCATCACCATCATCATCACCATCATCATCACCATCTTCATCATCATTACCATCTTCATGATCATCACCATCATCATTATTACCACCATATTCATCATCACCACCACCATCATCACCATCACCATCATCATCATCATCACCACCACCATCATCACCATCATCACATCAGTATCATAACCACCACAATCAACATTTTACCTCACTCAAGAAAGGCGAGTCAATTTCCAGATATTTCGAGACGACGTAAAGACAGAATAAATGTCGATCCACGCCTAGGAGAATGCAGAAGATATGAAATGCCGAGAAAACGAGAGAGACTTTTATATAAATGGGATAAAGTAGATATTGAAAAATATTATATCTATTCATGACATTCGTTTGAAATAGTCAGTTCATGCTCTACCAAATGTGGTACGTTCTTTGTTGGTACTCGGGTTCTCTCACACAGGGATTGTTCACAGCGTGGGTTAAGATATTCACGGCCTATTAGCATTGGCCACAGTCAAATGCAGTGGCGAAGCTAGTCACAGCAACAAGTCATGATATGCAAATTATGAATGATTTGCATTATTCAAAACTTAAGAAATGTATTGTATGAACCTCTTTCGATGTAGGTTTATTAGCATAGCTTATAGTTGCAATGGCTAGCTTCACCACTGGATAAATATAGGTAATCATGTGATGGCGAGTACAATTAGGGATTAATAGTACGAGTGATGTTTGGAAATTTTGGCAAATTTCCAAACATCACCAGTACTATTAATCCCTAATTGTACGAGCAACGTCGCATGGTTGCCTATATTTATCCAGTGGTGAAGCTAGCCATTGCAACTATAAGGTTCATACAATACATTTCTTTGGATACTTCTCAATGTCAACATTATATTCTCTCGCCAAAGTCCAGTCCTGCCAGACATTCAACCAAAATTTGGTGCTTTTGTTCGTATTTTCATTTAGTTCTTTTGTTAAAGCAAATTTTGGTGCTTTTGTTCGTATTTTTATTTAGTTCTTTTGTTAAAGCAAATTTTGGTGCTTTTGTTCGTATTTTCATCTAGTTCCTCTAGGACAATTTCATTTCACATCTGTGTTTAAAATACCTTTCCGCCATTTTGTTTGTTTTGGGAAAATCATTAATTGTACTGCAGTACAATTAATGAAATAATTGTACTCCTCTCAACCAATCAGCATCCAGTAATTTTGTCATGCAAATAATAAGTATAGGTAATCATGCAAAATTTCCAAACATCACTCGTACTATTAATCCCTAATTGTACGAGCAACATCGCATGATTACTTGTTTATTATTAGCATGACAAAATTGGATACGTACTTCTCAATGTCAACATCATATTCTCTCGCCAAAGCCCAGTTCTGCCAGACTTTCAACCAAAATTTGGTGCTTTTGTTTGTATTTTCATTTAGTTCTTTTGTTCAAGCAAAATTTGGTGTTTTTGTTCGTATTTTCATCTAGTTCCTTCACGGCAATTTCATTTCACGCTTGCGTTTAAAATACCTTTCCGCCATTTTGTTTGTTTTGGGAAAATCATTAATTGTACTGCAGTACAATTAATGAAATAATTGTACTCCTCTCAACCAATCAGCATCCAGTAATTTTGTCATGCTAATAATAAACACAGTAATTTTTTTCTTTAATTAATTTCAAATGACGCGAGCCAACAGATCACGACACTCTTGTATATAAAAAGAGCGTGTGAATTAAACAAGTCACATATTATTAGCACTGATGAAGATCCGGGGTTACGGATCGAAAGCTTTGCAGTAATAAATTTACGTGGTGTTTCCACATACAAAAACAATTAATTTTTGTCTTGTTAATAAAGTCGTTCCTAATGCTAACGTCTGCATGAACATTGTCCTGTCTTTAGGATTCGAATCCAAGTAGAAGTGCCTGTTATGCTGCCTGTAGAAGAATAAATCTTGGAGTCTTGCCAGCATTATGCATTGGAGTGTGCACACATGTAAGTATAGAGAGAGGGCTTAATAATATATAGTCCACTCGAGAAATGAATATCATATTTTCAGGCATGCATGTTTTATGTACTGTAAATTCACGATTATTCAAAACATGCCTTTCCTCATAGCACAGTGGGGGTAAGACAATAAAGGAGTTATAAAACCGCTGTCAGTGGCCGTGTCAGTTACCAGGAATTGTCTATACAACCATCCTCTAAACAGCTGAGGTCATACCATATGGTAATCAGGTTACCATGAATCTAAGCCCGCAAATATCTGAATTTTATTATATAGAAAATCAAAGTCAGATGGTTTACTCTGGAGTAAGTATATACCCTGCAGGCCGGCATTTTTCTCATACGGGAGAGATCGAGAAGTAGAACGTTGAAGATTACAACAAACCGACAGAAACACAATTTTAAACCAGTCCATCCTTCTCGCGAATCAGACGTCCATGATGTCAAAAACGCCGCTTGCTTAAGCTCCATAATCTTCTAAACTTTGCCGTCAAGTGCATTAAAAACATCATGTCCTCATCTAACAAAGTTAGAGGAAATTGTTTGCGAAATTGTACCATTTTTTTGGGGGCTTTCCTGCTTGAACAGGTGCTTCAAATAAAAAGATTGGTAGGAAGTGTAAGAACTTTACCAGCCTGATGATGAAGCGTAAGACATTTACTACAAATTAGAAGAAAATATTGGCTGGAAGTGAGACATTCACTATTGATTAGGCTTAAGCCTTAATTCACTATTGATTAGAATTAAGCCGAAACAATTTTCCGCGTTGATGTGTCAGAAATATTATGAATGCTGATGCGATCTATACTTGTCTAAAATTTCCTTTTTTCTTTATAGTGCTTCCCTATTTGAATGTTAATGGAGGATGGAATTTCATTTCATTGATTTGATTTCGGCTATTTTGTTACCTCGATCTCTTTCTATGGTGAATATTGTTGCATTTAAACAGTAATAGATACAGTATATACACTCATTCAATAATGTGATTCATTGTACTTTGTTAGATTTAAATTAATAATGAATAAAACATTTTCATATATAGTTTTAAAATATAAATATTCAACATATATCGGCCATTCAGAGATTGGGCCCAATTTGGAAACTGTCGGTGTAATGCCGTTATGTTTAATTTACATGAATATATCGTATATAGATCGTACGAAATTCTAAATTATTAAAAATAAAACCCAAAAAACTGAAACTATGTCTACCGATCTGATGTGCGCTTTTCTGGTCTTTGTGACAGTTTCTTCAGCGATACACTACATTGTGGTTTTACTGATAATTTGTCAATTGTCAAGTGTTCTGCAAACAAACATCAACAAAGTTTGTATAGTATGTGCAATGTAATTATTGCTGTTTATTGTTTATCCAGTCTGGAAAATTTAATAGATGAGATTTGCAAGTTTTGAAAATCTTGCTCATGACCTCAAGCACGTTTTTCGTTAGACAGGAACTAGTTAGCTAGATTTTAATGAATTCTTTTCAATTTTAATAATAAAAAATTTGCTTCGCGCGAAGAAATTTGCTAGTGGAAAACGTCAGGCTTTAAGAGAAATTTGATACATTTAATTAACGATTTTAGGCGATTTAAGTCGAGTTTAGATCCCAGAGTAGATCTCACGATGTTGTTATAGCTAACCCAATCTCGTACCCAGAGCAATGCCTGTGCGCGGGCTAGGAAGGCATTGGCTCTGGGGAAATTGACAACCGGAACCCCTAAATTTAGGGGTTTCGGTTCTTTGTCGGCATTCTCTATTGATAAACGTTAACCAATCACAGCGCAGGAAAAATTCAATTTCCCCCGAGCCAATGCCTTTCTTACCTGCGCGCAGGCATTGCTCTGGGTACGAGATTGTAGCTAACCATGAACCTCTGGCTAGAGCTCAACAACTGGATTCTGTAGCTCCGTTGGTTTAACGGCGAACTGGAGCGGCAGGGTTGTTCGATTCCTGCTATATGGCACAAGGTTGTATGCAATTGGTACATCAATTGTTTAAATTAATGAAAAACATCTTATATAAAGCTGTAAAAACAGAACTTATAAAGGATATAAATTTTTCTAGAAATGCACGCATGCAGCAACCCCTCGCTTATATTTTCCAAACATTGATCCCCGAGCCGGCGGCGCGAAGCGCCGTGCAAGGGTACTAATTACGCACGGCTATTTATACCCGGATATGTGAAAACATAGCGGAGTGCAAAGTTGTCGATCCTCCAATTTGTTTATGTCACGGACAATTTTTGACGTTATGCGCATGCGCTAGTACAAGCAATTTTTTTTTTAAATTTCGTTAAAAAGTTTACAAAAGTACAACACGGTTTTTTTTCTCCCCATTTTAACTGGAAATAGGCCTGCAGTTTCATGAATTATTCGCTGTTCAACCGCGAAACAAAGTTTGTATAATAATTGTTTTGATGTTTTGATGTTGATGTCTTTGATAATTTAACCGTTGTTGTGCCGGTTTGGGTACGTGTAAATATTTCAGTAGTAAAATTCCATGCCGCACTTACATTATGTTGTCGGTTTTATTCATCTGCGAAATTTTTAAGCCGTTTTTAATTCGATAATTCACTTTAATGCAAGGTAGTATGCATGAAATTGCCGCAATGAATGTTATCGTTCATTATATAAAACCTAGCGCTTCAGTTGTGTTTTTATGTTTGTTTATAAAATTATAATCATGGTCTTAATACTTTATGTGGAGTTTTTATACTTCATGTGTAAAGAAAGGTACAACACGCGAAAACTAGTTGAAAGATTATTGCTTTTAACTGTCTATATGACAATGATTTCTGAAATATGTACTCTAGGTATATGTTGTTCTGCATTTTGTGAGCTTTGATTTAATGTAAAATTTAACCTCAATCGCTTCGACAAATGTTTTGAAATGCTCATTTTATCTCATAACTAAATTTTAAGATTTTGTGCGCACAACGAAACCTGTAAACGAGTATATAATTTAAAAATAGGTACGCGCTGCGTACATGTGGGTAGCCTGCATTAATTGTTGTTAAAGCTGGAGTAATACCGAGGTTGGAGTAATACGCGCAACAAAATTGCTGCAGCCAAAATTTCTGCATCAAAATCTGATTTCAGCGAATTTTAAGTAGAAATGTTGACAAAACATTTCAATTAACATGCGCAGAAATCATATTTTGTTGCAAGTTGCAGCAATTTTGTTGCCCATATTAGTATATTACTCCACCTTAATTGCTATTGTCAAATTCCGAATTTACTGAAAGAAAGTATTAAGTAAATTGAACACAATTCAAATATTATACACACATTTAATCACATACTGAACATCAAATATGACAAAAATACGTAAACGACTGTTACGTGCATTTTTCAATAAGCATAAACAGATTTAAGAAGTTACAAAGTATTTTAATGTGTCAAAAATAATTTGCACACTGAACAGACAGAACAGTACAAGGTCTTTAATATGTATACGAAACAAAATACATCACACGCCGAAATACAAATTGTTCAAGGACAGCATACATCAAAGACAAAGCATCAGGTTTACAGGCTGCGTATATACAATTTTCGTGAAGTTTTGAGTTTCAAGGATAGTCCATGCAAAGATCTAAGGACGATGTTTTCCGGCGGAGTTTGAAAAATATCAACATATACTTTATTTAGTGATGATTGAATTATTTAAACAACGACATAATCGATCTCATATATATTGGTAATGACATTCAATTTGCTTTCAATATTCGACAAATATATCCCAAAGTAAAAAAGCGCTAATATTCCACTGCCTAATTCAATCCTTGTGTAAACCGTGCTTGGCTTTCTATTTGCCTTAACTTTGTCTTACACATTCGACTAACCCGATTCCAATGACGTGGCCTTACAAACATTATGTAGGCAACGACATACTCGATTCTATATACCTATATGTTCGTCATTCGTCAACATTCCTTCGATATAGACTAACGTAAATATGTCCAATCGTCGCGCGCTATATCATTAATTACTATATTTTTCTAATACGTATAAAATGTTTGATCAAACTGATATGTCGTGTTTAAATATGACATTACACGATATAAAACAGACCCCTTGCGCTAATATTAACCCCAATGACCCTTGTACAAGCAGTGATTATAAAAACAACGACATATTCGATTCTATATGCGTTGGAAATGACTTCGACCTGACAAAACATATTACAATAAAGACTTTACTAAGAATTTATACACATCTCTGTACGGTATGAGCGTTAGTGAACTTAGCCTGTGGTCTATAGACGGTTCGTATTTCAATTTTCAAGGATAAAAGGAACCGCGCAGCAGGACACCGCGGACACGAAGGCTACAGAGCCACAGAGGCACAGAGCCACAGAGAAACGGAAGATCGCGCTTCAGTCTCTCACATAGTGGTTAGCTGCGCATGCGCGGCTACCCACAAAAACGACCGGTTTTCCTTCCGTTTTTTGTGTGGAAAATATGACAACGTACTAAGCGATGGTGTTTATCCCTAAGAAAAAACAGTATTTTACTGAGATTTTAACGTCCATATATTGAGGTTCAGTATTCCGTGAAAAATCAAGACAACTATGGAATGATAGTATAATTTGTGTTATTTGACATTAATATAAAAGGAAACAAGAGGTCAAAAATCACAAGAGAACGTCAAATGTTATTTATTCGCACGGAAAAATATGAACTATGACTATATGTCTGTGGCTCGATGACATTCTTCGAGTAGCTTACAAGTTTAAAAAATGAAGGCTACACCACCTGAGTGAGTTGTAATCCTATTACTTCATCAATTATAGTTTCATATTTCTTAAAATTTTGGTGTTGTAGACGTTTTGAAGCCTTGCTGTTTCTTTGTTCTGGCCATACAAAATACGACAATAGTACAAAGGTTTCCATTTCCGACTAACTCCAGCATCTTACTTTTACGTTAAATATCATGCTATACTTTCTCAGAAGTATTTTTTCAACTTTCAACTTTCATAAATAATATATTTTCGAAAAAAGCCATAATATTTTCGGAAAAAAGGTGCCATAGACGACAGCAAAAATTTTTTTTGGCCATTTTCCCGCATTTATTCCCGTCTTCTAGGATACGAGGCCTCGATCACGATTTTTGAATAAGTTCTATTAAACATTCAAAACAAACTTGCCCTAATTTTACGATTTCCCATAGTAAATAAATTCGTCTCATTACTTCAAACAAAAATTGTTCAAAGCTCATTGTGTAAATCGTGATTTTCCAAATATATGCTGTGGAATTCGAATATTAATTGAAATCTTGCTTAACCCATTAATTCCTGGGAAACGGCCATATTTTTGAGATCAGTGAGGTCCACTCATGAACCACATTCACGCGCCCGCGGTCATTGAAGAACTTTAGACTTTGCTAATGCTTTCCTTTTCCCAGGTGTAAATAGCCGGGCGGAATTAGTATACCCTCCGCTCGGGCTAATGCTCTGAATGGCGCTCCGCGCCGTTGGCTCCTGGGACAATAGTGGACAGATACGAAGGATATAAAATTATGGTTTATATTATATTTATGTACGAAGTGTATAATTATTTAAGGTTCATTTATGAAAGAGCAACTGTTCTCGTTTTTACGATTGTTTAGAGTTAAAAAAATATATTTAAAATTATACAAAAGTGTATTTTTGACTCACGGATGTTGCGAAGCAACATCTGTGAGACTTTGTGGTTAAACAGGGCGCACTGTTGCTTTTGCGCGCACTGTTTGCCTGCAAATCGAGCCTTTCAAAACCGAAAATCGGGCTAAAGCACGCGTAAGTTCTTTTGATTTGGCAAAAGAAGCACAACAAATGGCAAAATTCGCAAGGTGTCCGTTTTCAAAAACAACTGCAAGCTACTCTAATTCTTTTTGTCATTTTCACTTGATTTCATCCTTGAGTCGGCCTTAATTAAAGGCCTTTGATTAGGATTCGTCGGCAATTAATTATATTCGAACACGCGTAGAATATATTTTAAATAATATACTCTTAATTAATGTCTGCACCTGAGGGAAATCAGTTAGTTTTGTTTTCCCGAAAATCTCAATGTTGTTGTTTTTGTTTTCCCGAGATGAGGTCGAGGGAAACATTGAGATTCGAGGGAAAACAATTACAAAACTAATTATTTCCC